GGATACAATAATGGTTTTTGAGGTACTTCAAGACCGTGGGACAATGCCTTAACCCTTTAAGTCCCAATAGTGACCAACATCAATTTTCTCCTAACAATATCCATAGATTGTCAAGTGCAAAATCTATGAGAATTAATCAAGTGATCACAAAGAGAAAAATCTCTGATCTTTTACCAATTTTTCCCAACTGATTCTGTAAGGAAATGTATAGAGATCAGTTTGGAGAATTTGTTTGAGGATATTGGGGCTTAAAGGGTTAAGCGAAAGCAACCTTTTTGCAATGTTAATCAGGGGAAGGAGGGGTATACAGCCTGTCCCAAGTAAAACCAAACCTCTGGTTAAGTATGTCTGCAAGACAGCACCTAAATCTTTGTTCTAGGTCCCTTCCTGTGTACCAGGATTTGGGTAGGCACCATGATTGGCCTGTCAAAAAAGCTATTAATTAATTTACCAATAAGGTTAAAGGGGAAATTCGAAAAGCACTTCTGGTAGATCAAGGAGTCTGTTGGACGCCCAGAACAAGGATCCCGGCTCTGCTTCGCAGAAGTCACTAATTGAGGCTAGATCACGTCTGGGATGCAGGCTAGGGTGTGGGTGGGAACTTTGTATATCCTATACAGGGACATACCAGAGGACAGTGGGTAGATAATTAATACATTTTTCCAGCCACTTGGTCCTCAGAATACAGTATACACTGTGAACATATTATATGGCTACAATAGTACATGTGCTCTGATTGGCTGTTTTCTTGTAATGACCAGGCATTATTAGCTAGGTGTCCAAGGTATATACAATCTGTGTTTAACTTGCTAGTGGACATCCTTATGGACATTTATGTTATGGTCGATTGACAGCTGTCAAAAAGTGTATCCACTGACCAGTGTCACCTGAGTGTATTGTGGGCTTGAGTGTAAAACTCATTGAGTTGACATGTTTTTTTTTTTAAGTTATCTGCTGACCAGTTGTTGGTTTTAATTGATCGCAGGCTCTGGTCCACAACGATTAAATGCCATATAATAAAAAACTTATTAACCTCGTCTTTTCGGTAATTACAGCAAAATCTCAGACCTCAGCCTGGATGTATTGACCTCACTATCGCCCGGTCAATACATCAAGGCCTCAGTAAGGCTGACAAGTATACATGTCAGCATGTGTATTCTCCAGTTTTTTGCACTGTTTTGTTACTGATGAGGAGAATTTGTTCAACAATCAATACCATTTAATTACCTATTAATATCATGGATGACAAATTACACTAACAATCTTGGTTTTTTTACTTGTTTATCGTATTGAGAACTCCACACACACCAAGAAGTTTAGAGCATAAATTTTGGCTTGAGTTCACAAGTTCTGAATTTTTCAGCAAGAGTGCTCTTTTGTGTGTTCAGGTTTTCTAAATGCCCCGACATCTTCATTCACAATATTTTGAAACTTCGACACCATCTTGGCACTGACATGTAAATGCAGAGAACGTTGCCATAGTAATTTTGTAATTCACAAGCGAAATTCTAAATTAACGCTGCAATTTCGCACCAAAATTAAGGAGTAATTTGCCACCCATGGTATTAGTATAGGTAATAGCATGATTTGTAGTGATATTTGGCATAAATACCACGAGTGATATTTTGAAATTGTTATACGTAATTTCACAAGCTGTTAGGCAAGTGAAATTTGAGAAAATTTTCAAATATCACAAATAGCATTTATTCCAAATATCATGTACAAATCATGCTATTATTTGTTTATACTACTGACCCGCAAAAGGTTTGTAATTTTCACATATAGGTATTTCAAATTAAGATGAAATACCACTACTCTAAGCCAATCAAATTGCAGAAATTTCTCATGCAGTAGTATAAAAGGGTTAATCTAATAGGCAACATGACAAACAGACAATTGAAACAAATGCAAAGACTTAATGAAAAGAACTAACCTGTACACAAAATAGAGATCAGCAAGGAGTTCCTTGTACCACTGTCTTTCAATTCTTCCTTTGGCAAATTCTTTAACAAAGTGCACATTCTCTGCTTCTCTATGCACTCTCTTTGTGCCTTTTTTGAGCTCCTTGGAAAGATGCATTGATGGCTCAGTTTTATCAATCTCTTCACTGACATCGTTAATGACATCTTCTAAGGAGGATTGTAGGATCTTGGTCCACCGCTGATCATCGAGCTTGTCAATCAAGGGTTTGCCGTCACTGCACACTGTCTTGAATGGACATCCCTCATCGGTCACAAACACTGGACACTCCCCAAGCTCATCTTTCAGAGACTGCGACACTTCATGAACATGCTTGAAAATGTCTAACAACTTGGCCCCATGAGATTCTTTGACGGAAAACTGAGGAAGACTAGCAAGCCTTTGATAAAGATCCCCAACATCTGAACTATCCTTGTAAGGACAGCCACTTTTGAACTCGGGACATTCTTTCAGGTCTTTTCCAAAGTCTTTCCTTCCAACCTTGGCAAATGGACATCCAGATTCAAATGCAGGGCAGGTTTCTTTCAAATCTGTTAGACCAACAGAATGGACTGAGGGTTTAACCTGCTGTGCTTTTATTTCTTCTGTTGGAAGAACTGACTCTGGAGGGTTTATAATGGCTTTCCCATCACTCTCCACACTTTTAAATGGACACCCATCCTTTTGGAGCAATGGACACCCATCGGCTTTCTCATGGCCAACACTGTGAATAACTTTCATGGTCTGCATCAGAGCTTCTTTATGGTGACAGTCTTTCTCACCACTCGGCATCTGCGATAGTTTGCTGTGGATTTCTTCCACTGATTTTGCATCCTTGAATGCACACCCCTCTTTGAACTCAGGGCATTTCTTGATCTCTTCTAAAAGGGATTCATTATCCATCTTGGCAAATGGACATCCTTCTTTGAAAGCAGGACACTTCTCTTTCAACTTACTGATGTCAGTGACAGTCTGATTTTCCAGGACATCACTAGGTGGCTCTATCAGAGGCTTCCCTTCTTTGCTGGCATCCTTAAATGGGCAGCCTTCCTTTGTTTTGAAAACAGGGCACTCTCCAACTTTTTCTTCCAAACTTTTTGATTCAGAATGAATGGCCTTCAGTAAGCTTAATAACTGCTCGTGTGCTGGACCTGTATGATGTTTTGATTCCGGCATCTTGGATAGCTCCTCCAACATCTCCTTGACGTTGTCCATGTTTTTGAATGGGCATCCCTCTTTGAATTCAGGACATTTCTTGATTTCTTCCATGAAGATGTCTTGAGCAAGCTTAGAATAAGGACAGCCATCTTTAAAAGCAGGGCATTTTTCATGGACTGATTCTTTCTCATAAAATTCCATATTATTAAAAATCTAGCAAGGAGATAGATAAAAAAAATTAGAAATTCAGAATTTTCAAAGAGAAGGGATAATAATTACACTGACGGGTAGGTGGGAAGTACGCTACATTTTTGTCACTCTGTCAAGCCTGGTCTTTGTGTAAGCTTTAGGGGAAGAATTAAGATTTATTTTACCAAACAGCAGCTGGTTAAGTCCCAAGGTAAGTGCCCAAAATAACAGCTGGTCAGTGGACAATGTCCAGCCAGAATGGTGACTTGACCGGCCAAAAAATTCCCTCACCAGTCTTGTTTACCGAACACTGCTTATGTGTTTGTCGTTATATGTTTGGCAGAAGTGTGCAACAAGTTAAACCAGCTATGCAGGTTACAACCACCATAAAAAGTCGCTTCAATCAAGTGAATCCCAGTTGTAAAAGGAAGATATCAGGGGGATTTTCCATTGAGAAGCACTTGAACCAGGGGACATGGCACTGTTTAATTCCCCCATTCCTGGAGGAAATTGTTAAGCCTGGGATCCTTAACCCCACTGGGAGGTCGATGACATGTGCATAATAACAGCACACAGACCTATAAACAATCACACCTAATTTTGTAAGACATCAAGGTCGTAAAAAGAAAGGTCTCTCAAGGTCAGATTCGAATAGACCTTGTCACGGTTTTCGACGCCATCTTGACGAGTAGGAAAACGTGTGAGAAATTACAGTGTTTGTATGAGAATCTAATGTCGAATAATTTCCGTAAAAAGGCTGTTCTGAAAAAAATATCAATTGTAAACTAAAGTTACAAAGCAAAGGATTGTCCTAAAAAATTTGGGGGGACGTACCTGAGCTTAGATTTCTCCAGAGGCTTGGTTTAGATTTTCCACATAATTATTTATCCGTAATTTTCCCGGGACTTTCTTACAGACAAATGTATAGAAAATTTAAAAAAGTGGTTCTAGGTCTTCTAGTGCATGTAACGCCCTCAATTTTTTTCAGTAAAATTCTTAGGAGAGAAGCTTTAGTTTAAAAATCATATTTTTGTCAAAACAGCCGTTCTACGGAAATTATTCGACATTAGATGCTCATACAAACACTGTTATTTTTCACGCGTTTGCCTACTCGTAAAGATGGCGTACCTGTCGAAAACCGTGACAAGGTCTACTGGAACGAGCGCATCTTAGCATAAAAACTTGATGCATGGCGGGTAGCCTTTGGCTGGGTTCCTAGAGTTTTTTTAACAGAAGATACGCCCTCAACTCAATGATCAGCTGTCGGGTTGAAAAAACTATCACTACCTCACGAAGACATTTAAGCGCATGAACCCGACAGCTGGATGTTAAACGAAGACCGCAGTTGAGCGAAATTTGGTTAATTTTCGTTACATACCCAGGCAAAATTAAAGACCAGCATAATCGTAGCGTTCGATTTGAAAAGCGCTGAGCATACCGAGCAAACGATTTGAGAAAGCGCTCCTGCCGCGAAGAATTCGAAATTAGCTTTATCAGACCAACACTGGCGAACAATGGCCAGAAACAAGCCACGAACGCAGTCTAGAAAAAACAGAATAGCCGTCAGACAAAAAAGCGGAATTAAAAGAAAAAAGCGTTCTTCACAACCTGTGAGAAGAGGACAACCTATGGTAAAGTAATAACGAAAAATTTACCTGAAACTTCCAGAGAAAAGCTCCAAAGGGTGCGGTGTTTACTGTGTTCGGCACTTCTCTTGTAGGGCTCTCAAGGACCTCGCTGGGCCAATATTGGCATACTGTGTCCCAGCGATGTCTTATACTTGCCAAGCAAGTTCCAATCGGCCAATGATATCGTTGTATCCATCTCATGTGATTCCCTCGCGGGTTTCAGTTTCTGTAGCGTCATCGTTCCAATAATAGTAAGCTATGTTGTGCGGTCATTGTGACATTGATTTCGCAATTGTGACATTGATTTCGCAATGCAACAAAATGTCACGTTGACTAGGCACCAAATTCTAATATACTGTATTTAAAAAATTTTTTTGCTTTTTTAGTGGTTTGCATGTATTTTGTCAATGTTGAGTTCTGTGCTTTTTTGTCTTTTATTTTCTGTTTGTTTGTTTGTTTGTTTTAATTTTATTTAATTTATTGATTTGAATAAAAAATTCAATAAAACTGAAAGACAAAAAAAAAAGTCAGACCTGAAATACGACTGAACGAAAACAAAACCTCAGCACCCAAAAATTTTTATCACGCATCAAAGCCCTTGTGTGCAGCCAATGCAGCGGTTCTAGTCACAGTATAAAAGCAAGGGCGGACAAAGCCTTCACCTGCCTAGGACATGGAGCGTCACTCATCGGATGTTCTGCTCTTTGGTGTGGTGTCGTATCATAGCGGAAGTGAATACGTAGGACCCATTGAGCCGGAAGTAAATATTCAAGAGTGGAGTTGTGATTTAAGAGCGCCAAGCCCTCTCGGCCAACGGGCGCTCTCGTGTCTAGGCAGACAAAACCTAAGGGATAGACCACTAGAAAAGTGAACGGGGTAAGGAAAAAATCCATGCCTAAAAGTTTCTCGTGAAAAACTTCATACAGCCAGAAGGCAGCCAGAAAAACTACATTGACGCTCAGAAAAAGAAAAAAAAAATGAAAAGAAAAACATGCACACGTGGCGAACCACACCAAATAAACATGAAAGGAAACTTCCCAGCTCCCCACTCCCACCCCCTTCACTGTTCTAATGGTCCGATCCGTCCCTGAACACAAGACTAAAAGTTTGCGGTTGGCGTTCACTGATTACTTTGTTAATTTATAATCAAGAGACTCTTGACCATTAGAGGATCTAGCCTGCGTGGCAGGGGCAAAAAGAGGAGGGGAAAGAGGGAAGGAGAAAAGGAACCTCGTTCCCAGGGTTCTCTCCAACCCGCCCTACGGGGCGAGAGAGGGCGGGTAGGAGAGAACCCTGGGAACGAGGTTGGGAGAAAAGCGCGATTTCCACGCCTGCTACGCAGGCTATAGAGGATCACTGACATGAGGCTGACACACAGCTAGAAAAGTACTCCAGGCCAGCACTCAGCTCGTTGATAAGCTATCTAATCAAGTTTCGCGCATCTCTTACGGTTTTTTTGTTTACCATTCATAAATTGAACATTTTTATGCTATATAACTACTTCAGGGCCCGCGCAGGGAGAGCGGCTGGGGGGGCAGCCCCCGCTCCCCCCACTTTTTAACAAATAAATAGAATTAAGTACAGTGGAAACTCGATATAACGAAGGGTCAAGGGACTGGCAAAATATGTTCGTTATAACAAGGTTCGTTAACTTACATCGAGGTTGTTTTTCATATTGCCTTATATTTTACCAAGAGCTATTACTGGAGTAAAAAAAAATAGTTCGTTAAACCGAGGAATTCGTTATAGAAGTTCCACTGTAATATACATTTTCATATAAATAGTATCTTTGTTGGAATAAGAATCTTACAGCATCTAAATTTATTATTGGTCCGTTTCGATCCCATCTGTTTGATGCATAGTAAGCCTCAAAACGCTTATCAAACGCCTATCTCCCCAAAACTGCACTTAGTCCTAGACTTCTGCGTTTTTAAACCAGCAAGGTTATGTAGCATTTGCAACGATGCGGAATAGAATCCTTTTTGATGAAAGTTCTGAATACTACTCCACGAACTACGTTTTCTTAAAAAAGAATTATATCGGGCTAATGATGTGGTCTCTGACGTATTTTGATGACACTAGACAAAATGAAGGGGTTAAAGGAACCTACAGTCTGCAAGCTTCTACTGGTGGATCCTGCACTTGCAATCAGGCGCAGCAGGAGAAAGGTACTTTTCAGCGGCGTGAAATTTATAAACACGACCCCGCTCAACAATGACTCAGTCAAGAAAGGTCCAGTATACCTGGCTGTTCTAAACAACCATAAGGAAAGAACTGCCTGCCTGCCCACTTCAAAAGAGGTGTCCCCGCACTTTAAAAACTGCTCCGCGGGCCCTGTACTTCCTTGACACCCGAAACGTACATTTATGACTTTTTTTGGTAATTTGATAGTTAAGAATGATCATCAAAAAAAGCTATTACTATTTTTATTATTATTTTATTATCTAACTGCAAGTGTCGCGCTCTCCTAACGGTTTTTCCGTTCACCATTCCTGGGACATTATGTTTTATGGTAGCAATGAAGTTAGACTAAAGTGTAAGCGAAATATGCACATATATATTACTAAGCTTCTTTTTTCTTCTCATACTGTTCCTAGAGAAGAAACATTAATACTTAGATGATTTCCTCATCCGAACTGCAAAAATTCCTGAGCATGCTCTTACAAGGACAAAAAAGGCCCTGTAAATAATCTGAAAACAAAAACTTGTAGGGAAGATTTGCCCAGCCGATACAAAAAAATTGATTTATGAGTAAAAACAGCGGAAATCGGTTGTTAGAGGTGACACCATGTTTTTGGTTACCAAGGCTGCCCTTGTTTTCCTGAAATATCCCATTGTCTAGAATATGGAAATTAAAGTAACAATGACGACTGTTTTTTCTGGGCCACTCATGAATTGGAATATATCCTTATAGTTAATTGCATCCGATATTCACAGAAGCAAGATTTCGGTTCAAGCTCAGGCAATCAGTGCTGCCAGTTTTCGGCTGAGTGACACCTTGAACTTTGAATTTTCAACTACAATCATACAACGCTTGTGATAGAGGTGAGATAGTTGTAAATAAGCAATCGCTGGGGCTTTTGTTGTTTCGTGCAAATCGACAGCGTTATATAAATTAGGCATTGCCTTTGCACTTTACCCTGCCAAAAAAAGAACAAGTCCTTCTTCAGTAGACTAATTACACAAGGACAATTTCTAGTTTATAGAACGAGTTAAACAAGACAAATAAAAACAAAAACAACATAAGGAGGTAATTATTCTGTATATTGAGAAGAAACACTTGAGTACACAAAGCGTTTCTTGCATACATTACAAGGAAATTCTAGTCTCTGGTTCTGATTAATGATCATTTTCTAAGTTAAAATTGCTTTGTTTTCGCTACTCGAAAAATATGAAGCACTTCCCTGTTGCTTTTATGATAATGGACGTGTTTTAAGAAAAATTTGTAAGCAAGCCAGCGTTTGCTCTATTTTTAGTTATGTGCAAACAAGTCAGTTTCTTGTAATTTTATTATTGTTCTACTGGAAAGATTGCATGATTTAAAGAAAACAAAAAATTTTACGTCACGCACGTATCAGTTTTTTTTTAACGACAAAATTGTCAATTTAATGGTATATGGGACAGTTCTAGCTATTTCTAGAGCCTATTTATAAAAATTAAGGAAAACCGACACGAACTGATTACTCGAGCGTTTAGAACGGTTGACCATCTTTCTATTATCCATGATTTGACTTAGCCTCCTCCGCATGCAAAAAGCCATTTGCCATTTGCATATCCCCATAACAAACCTTGTTTGGCCTCCAAAATTTTGCATAAGGATTGTCTTCTATTTTTCTTGGGACGACTGTAATACCGAGGAGAAATGAAAAACAAAGGTTATGCAAAGCCTCTCAGTAAAGCGAGGCTAAGTGCGAAGACATTGATTCGAAAATAATTTGTTAGCCTCATGCAAATAAAACTCATTTTCACAACAAAGGTTTCGCACTTAGCCTAGTTTTGAAAGCGAGAGTTTTTGGGACTCGGAAATGGCCTCAGGCTCCTAATTTGCAGTAGACTGCAAAACAGACCGTATTTTTGCGTATTCAAGTACGCGCTAGCAGTCAAACGAAAGGCCTGGAACGAAGCTGAAAACAGAGAGCGAGACAAGCGCCTTACGGGCGTGTAAGGCTCGTGCGCTTCGCGCTTAAGACTCTTACGCCACGCTTAACCGATTTCTTTACTGATTTTGAGAAAAAAAACGACTGTTTTGCAGTCTACTATTGTAGCGATTGCACTGACCGCGAGGAGCGGACTCCCCGTTCTTCCCCATTTTCCCACTCGCTCTCTAAAACAGGACAGTGAAACCTGCGTAGGAGGTAAGGTTTTGACTGAAAATAGCGGCAAGCTTCTTATCTCTGACAATGACTGAGGGCGTGATCCTCTTAAGGAGAAACTAGAAGTACAGTGACTTAGGCCCATTTATATGGAAAAAAGGTTGTCTTAGAGGAACGAAAGCAACCAATTTTCAGCCGTTAAATAGTCAAATTTTATTTTCGTTTTTCGTCTATGGCCGAAACCAAAAACCGGTTTGGTGGGCTTAAGCGCACATGTTACCGTTCTCCATCCCCCCACCCCCCGCCCCCCTCCCCTTCCCCCGCACACTACTTTAATGGCACGTAACCAATGATATTTCCTTAAATAAATTGGGAATCTGCTGGTTGTTTTTATTTCAGGCCGGGACTTTCATTTAGACGCCAAACACAGATTCTGACAGGAAAAATAATATCGTAAGCGGCGAGTAGGGATGTGCCTGTTCGCGTTGTTAACATCGAGATGGAAAAGGAACCAGATGAGGCAAGCGAACAAGAAAAAGCACGACACTGAAGACGACTCCAAGTTAACGTCGATCACTCCAGAAGTTGCAAAAGAACCCAGAGAAAATAATGCCATTGAAAGACCACAAGAGAAAACTGCTTAAACAGCTTAAAGACTTAAATACTCCTTCTTTGTTATTCAGTGTTAATTTCAAAGTAACTAATTATATGGTGAAGGATTGATAGGTAAGAACTAAATGAAGGAGTAATACTATAATTGTTTAGCAGGGCTTGAGACCCAATTAGAGATCTGGAAAGTGTAACACTGATTTCGCATGGGCTTAACTGTATTCTTTCTCAGTCGTAACGCCAACTTTTTTTTTTTTTTTTTTTTTTTTTTCATTTCACTTTTTATCAGTATCACGAAAGCTTCGAAACAATATAAATTAAGATCATGACAAACTTCATCCTCAGAACGTTTCCCTTTTTTCGCTCCTGGGGACGAGGTTAATTGGAAGAAGTTTGTTATTGTAAATTTTTTCTTAACAGGACGTCTTTTTGTAGAGCTTGTTGTCCGTATTTAATATCAACATTAAATTAACAAAATTGCCTTTAATTGTCCAGTATGCAATAATTCAAGACATGCAGACATTGCTTATGTTTTATCCAGCAGAGGACGTCTCTTATTTATTTTCTCCGATGGACAACTGATAACGGAGTGTCGTTTTCATTGTGGCGCACAGATGAGGATAAGAACAAATAATTGAAATCAAGTCATTAACAAGGCTAAGAATCCCAAGTAAGCTTGGCCGAGGATTTGAAAACGCGGACTACTTGCGGTTAGGCGGAAATTGAACTCGGGACTACCGGCGGCTAGGGCGGGGATTGAACTCAAGGTTTCTGGGAAACTGCCCACCTACCCCTCCCCTAAACTAACATAAACACATAATTCTCACTTTGGGCAAAATAATGGGTTAGGGGAGGGGTAGGTGGGCAGTTTCCCAGAAACTAAATTGATCCGATTCAAGAGCCATAATAGGACTATTATGGCTCTTGTCCGATTACAATTCCATTGCTCTAACCGCCCGGCTTCCCTTCCTCCTAACGGAGGATCTGAAGACGAGATTTCGAATTTTCCGCCCCAATTAAGCAAGAAACGCTCAAAGCAGTCCCTCTCATATCGAACTTTTTTTCTTAGTCTGCCGACCAAAATGCGCGAGAGAAAAAAAATGCTCGGTCTCGCGAGACTCGAGGTGTGGAAAACAGTGCTAAAGGGAAAGGCATGAAAAAAGCAGCTAAGTGTTTCACATCACTAACTTAAAAAATTGCTAAATTAGAGTCGGTCTAGTCATGCAGTCTAGTAACACAACGTTTTAGGGGCTCAGTACCAAACCAATGCTATGCATGAATACTTTATCTCTTTCCGCTGCTAGGGAAGAGAAAGGGAAACAAAAGGAAGGGAAACAAAACAAGTAAAAGATCGAATTGATACAGAGAACGTTTTGAGCTTGTGCGCGACTCTGGGTTGATGTTGTGATAATGGAACTATTTTGGGACTGCCTCCCTCCTCGAGCGCCGCTTCGTTTTTCGCACACGGGCGAGCGCGAAACGTGAGTGACTGGTAACGAAGCGCAAGGGACCGTAGGATAGACCGCCTAGCAAGCGTTTCCGCTCGAGTTATTGCGCGAAAACTTGTAGAGGGAGAGAGAGAAAGCAAAATTTTTTTTTTTTTTTTGCTCTGTTTCCAGTTTTCGCGCATTAACTCGAGCGGAAACGTTTGCCACGCAGGCTAACCATAGGAAGTAGAAAGAGGAGAGACGTTTTGTCCTTCCCGCCTTCCGTGGCACGCAAATCTTCATCGAGAGAGAGACGCCTGGATTCGAGGCACTTCTGGGAGGTTGCACAGAAGTGGAAAAAGGCCTTCCCCATACAGTCCCACAACACAACACTGACTATGATCAGTAGGTCAGGACTCTCGTCTCGGCATTTAATTTAGAAAAACTTTTCTTAGCCTGCGAATACAGAAGTCTCTCGTCGCTCCTAAGACTGCAAAACAGTCGCTTTTTTCTCAAAATCGGTTTTGCGAGGTACGAAGCGCCGGCCCGATACTTTGGCGCGAAGAGCGTGGGGCCTCATGTGCCCACGGGTATTTTTTGCGTCTCAACCTCATTCTCCGTTTTCACCCTCACTCCAGTCTTTTCCCTTGACTTCTCGCGTGTGCGTTCTTAACCTAGGCAAAAATTTCACCTGTGTTGTCGCGAAATACTTTGAACATTAAAAGTTTAAAAATTTTTATTTGTGTGGTTAGGTCTGGTCACGGATCCATGAATAAACAGTCAAAAAAGGACTGAACTGTAAATTCCAAGTATTTGCTTGCGATCTACGTTGGTGTTGCAGGCCGAACAGTTCGTGAGAAGCAGCATTGTCCCTCTGAAGGTTCATATTTTCAGGGGGGGGGGGGATTTTTAGCCTGTAAAAACAGCATTCTCTCCTCGCCCCTCTCTGCTTGGGACGTTTCGCCAGGAGAGAAGTCTGCGCCTCAGCGACAGAAATTCCATACTGATGTCAAAAAATCAGTCCTGAATCTGGTCAGGAGCTCTGATTGGCCGACGTGGTAGTTATATAGTTTTATCTATTGTTTACAAACAACAGGCAAAGGTCCCAATGAAAATGTGATGAATCTACTACAAAAAGGTCAATATTCGTGGAATATAGCCGAAGTAGCATTTAAGTTTTGCTGGAGCTCGTTCGCAGAGGAACACAAAACTTTACCAGAATCGACCAGAAGAATCCAAAAATCGAACAAATTTTCATTTGGGACCCCATGACTATCGGATTTATTATGTAAACATTGATTTACGCCATCAGTATGGAATTTCTGTCGTTGAGGCGCAGACCTTCCTCTTGGCGAAACGTTCCCTCGGCGAGAAGCAAGAAGAGACTGCTGTTTTCGCAGGCTAGGGAATTCTGGTCAAAGGCCTTGTTTTTTAAAAAGCCTCAAAAATCTCTACTATAACCCACGAGACGCTGATTAAGATATTATTTGATTCAAAATTAACAAACAACAGAATTTCTACGGCACATTATTTTCCAACACCATTTATTTTCTATTGTTCAGCTCACTAGGCATTCACACAATTCTACATGCAAGTCCAACACAAGGTTTCATTTGCTTCTGGCAAACAATCTACCGCGTGGTGGAATAACAAGGGGTGTTACACACTTGTTCCTATGGGCAGCAGCATTTGTTGGTTGACAAAGGACAAACGAATTCATCAGAGCAATCTTTAAGACCCGCTGGGCAAGGATCAACTTTTGAATAGCAGTCAGCCTGCCGTATAGCATCTGGCTTCGGCTCGTTTTCATAACAGTACTCTGTAAAGAAAAAATTATTATTATTATTATTATTATCATTATCATCATTATTATTATTATTATTATTATTATATCATAGGTGACGAATTACTCCTTAATTTTGGCGCGAAATTTCAGCGTTAATTTGTAATTTCACATGTGAAATTACAAAATTGCCATGGCAACCTTCCGTACGTCTCAGTGTCAAGATGGCGACGAAGTTTTAAAATGTCATGAATGAAGATATCAGGGCACAAAAAGACGCTTTCCAAAACCTGAACACACGAAAGAGCTCATCAAGAAGGATTCTAACAGGTATTTTGTCGAAAAACTCTGAACTTAAGCTAAATTTAAGCGCTAAACGTTCGAGAGAGTTCAGGAGTTCTCGATCGATACGATCCAGGATAAACATGTCAAAAATCCAAGATTGCTAACGTAATTCGTCACCCATGATATTAATAGGTAATCAAGTGGTATACTCGTGAAATTAGGGAATAATTTCACCTGCGTTTTGTCCAAGTCCTAATAATTTCCGTCGCCTACAGGCTGGGGAAATCATAAGGATTTGAACAAAACGCGCGCGAAATTATTCCCTAATTTCACGAGTATACCATTTGATTACACATACTTATTATTATTATCATCATCATCACCATTATTATTATTATTAGTGCCGGTGGTTAGTGGTGCTAGTGGTGGATGTTTAGCCACCTCTACTTCAGTGAATATTGTTATTTATTATTTTGTAGAAGAGGAGGGAAGAACGAGGGATTGTGTCGGTGAATATCACCTGTAAATTCTAATTCCTACTGACGATAAGCTGTTTTGGAGAGCATGCGTGACAGGCCTCGAAAAGGGTGAGAGAAGAAGGGGTATTGCCCTTTCACACTTCTCTCCCTCCCCTCCCCTCCCCTTTTTTACACCCGCCACGCAGGGCCAGAAAAGCCCTTGAGATTGCTTTGTCATGGGCACGTTACCCCGGTGGTCCGAAACTGTCGATTTTTCAGACGGAAGTACCAATTTTACTGAAAATTGTCATTTATTGTGGTGGTTATAGCGGAGCTCTCGCGCGCGCGAAGCGGAGCACCATGGGTAAGAAACTTCGGTTATCTATGCACCCAAGAAATTTGGGTTCTGAGAAAATCGTCGGCACGTTCGTCCACCCCACTCATGTAAGCCGGGTTGAAATTTTGCATTTCAAGGACCGGGGCGTTTCAGGGATAAATCCCATAGCCGCCCGAACTTTTAGAGATAAACAACAACAACAACAAAAGCGATTGTTAATTTTTATGTCTATATTAGCGCAGGTAACGGAGAAAGAGCTAGAGCAGAAGATGAAAGAGTAGTCAAATTTCGTTGGAAGAAAAACATGAAAGATTTATAGCGGCGGTGAAAAAGTCAGAAATGCTAGCGGCCACCAAAGTGAAAATGAGCAGCAGCGAAAAAAAAAAAGGTGAACAGGTACACGGCATACAACATTTCCTCTATAAAACGATACTAGGAAGTTTCTGGAAGTTTCAAGTTGTAGTCGTGGAAAACAAAGGTAAGGAAATGTACAAAAAATTGTGCTGCACGTGCAGAGTTGTTTCTTATTTTTTCGCTAATTAGACCTACTGGTTTTTTCATCGTTTTCGTTGCCCCGATTTTATATTAAGTTTGACAACAACACCAAAAGCTTTATTTGCATGACCATAAAGGAATTACAGTATTGCAAAAGCTATTAATCTAAATTTAAGTACTAATTCAACTAATTAGTACGTGCAAAACATTACAAAACGTGATAGTTCTCATTCATTCATTCATTGATATTAATTTGGTCCTTAATTCAAAGCATTGCGAGATAAATGAAACTAATTGACAGTTAATTAAATAATCAGAAGAATTCATAAGAAGAGATATTAAAGTATCGTGTGAAAGTGATTTGAAGTCAGGTATTTTAGTTTCTAGTTTGGAGAAAAAAATGTCTCTGATCTGAGAATAAGCCTTACAATCTAGTAAGAAATGATTTTCATCTTCGATTTTCTTACTTGTACAAAAGTGACATATCCTTTCATTGCGAGGAATGTTTTCGTATCTACCTGTTTCAATTCTAAGTTGATGACTACTTATTCTAAATCTAACTAATGTTTTTCTCGAAGGGTTTTTTCTTGTTAAAACTAGGTATGGCGAGGGGCTATAGTCGTCTTTGATTGTACAATAAAAACTGAGTTTTTGTGATTGTTGAAGTGTCTGATTCCAGTAAGAGACGTATTTATTTTTCATTATGCCGATATACCTATTAACTATTGAGTCACTCAATGAATTACAGGAAAAGTCATAGTTTAGATCATAGTAGTCAACCATTTTCATGAGATTAGAGTAAAAGCTAGTTTTTCCGTTATGATGAAGGTCAATTGAAATTTGTAAGGCCTGTTTAACTATAGAATCTTCATCCTTACCTCTCAGATAGTCTAAGTAATTTAGAATCTTTTATTTATATCAATGATCATGGGAAATTTACCGAGTTCAGCTCTACAAGCAATGTTCGATGCCTTGTTATGTACTTGTAAATAACGTTTACAGAATTGCAAATGGGTTTTTCAATTGCAGAGCTGTCCCAGGACTTAAAATCTGATTTAACAAAAGCACCCCAAACTTCGCTGTTGTAGGTTAGAATTGGTGAAATCATAGAGTCAAAAAATTTTACACGCAAGTGAGGGCTTAAGATTATTCAAATCCGTGTGTCGCCTGAGGCTGAAGAGCGCGTGAAGAGCTTTTTGTCGGAGATGCTCAAGCGAAAGTGTAAAATTTCCGGAAGATGTAATTCGAGTTCCTAAGTAAGTATAGTTTTGGACAACGTCGATTACTTCATTGCCTATGCGGAAGTTATGTTCACATTTTCGTGTGCATCGTTGAAAAATCATTATTTTGGTTTTCTTAGGATTTATTCTAAGCATCCATGAGTTGCAATATGAAGATAGTACGTTAAGGCAGTTTTGTAGACCAAGTTTGGATCGCGATAATATTATCAAGTCATCTGCGTAAAGGAGAGAGTTGAGTCTGGTGCCATTTGGTAACACGAAGGGGTCTGATAAAACATTGTCAAATGAGAACGCTAGATCGTTAAGGTATAAGTTAAAGAGCAGAGGGCTTAAAATGCAGCCTTGCCGCACTCCTCTTGCGTATTGAAAAGATCGCGTTTTGTTATTTCCAATCCTGACAGAGCAGGTAGACTTCGAGTATAGACTCTTAATTAGACTATAAAACTTTCCTTGGACATTGATCTTAGATAACTTATAGAGAAGCCCATCATGCCAAACCAAATCAAAGGCTTTCCTAAAGTCAACAAAACACGCATATATTTTCTCCTTGTGACAATGGACATATTTGTCTATCAATGTTCGAAGTGTGAAGACATGATCTGCTGTTCTATTATTTGCTAGAAAACCAATTTGAGACTTGTGAAGTATATTATTTAAGTCAACGTGCTTTAGAAGTCTCTGACTGAGAATTGAACAAAATAGTTTTGAATAGTTTGAATAAACAATATACATTAAAGAGAGCTTCGATGTTAGCCCTGGCTAAATCTATATATTATGTTAGTAACTTGTTACGTTTTGCTTGCGAAAAAGCCGGGCACAGTACCGCAAATTATGCCCAAAATGGACCGCAAACAATCCCCACATCACGGGGGGATTTAGTGGTGGGCCGAGGGGGACGAGGATGTAGCTGGCAAGTGAGCAAGCGTCCCGACCACCAATTTCTGAATTTTCTGTATCCGCCTATGAATTTCAACCAAAAATAATCCCGTAAAAAGTTTGGATAGTGAATGATGCTGAGTACTTGAGCAATGCATTTATCGAGTGAAACTTATATCGGTTTCGTCTAGTGTATTAAACTCCAAACTGCGAATTTGTAAACAATTTTAAGGAGATAATAGAGGAACTATCGAGCGGAGCCCCAGGGGTAAGAAAACTTGTTCTGTCAAAATCACGTACACGTACGTACGGACGGACGTACGTCCACCCCTTCATGAGAGCCGGCAAGAAGTTCGCATTTCTAGCACCCGCGCGTTTTTGGCGGTAAATCGCATGGCCACCCAGACTTTTCGAGAGAAAAAACGACAGCAAATCGGAGTTTTTTTTTTTTTTTTGGACTAAATCCTAATGTCTACACTGAGTTGGGTAACAGAAGAAAGAGCTAAAGCGAAAGATAAAATACAAAGGTGACGAATTTCGTTGGAAGGAAAACAGGAAAATTTTATAGAGGCGCTGAGAAAATGACACATGCTAGCCGCCTCCAAGGTGAAAATGAGTGCCAAAGAGAAAAAAATGAACAGGAATACATATGACGTTTCCTCAATAAAACGTGTATAAACTAGGAAGTTTCGCCCTCTAGTAGTGCAAAACAATGGTAAAAAAAAATGTACAAAAATAGTGTGCTGCAAGTGCAAAGTTGTTTTTTTTGCTAAATTAGACCTTTTGATTTTTTGCCATTCTCATTGTTGTTGCCGTTTAGCATTACACTATTTTATTTTTTGTTTGAGTAAACTATAAGTATATTGACAAGTGCTTCGCTTTTAGCCCTGGCTAAATCTATATATTAAAGGAATAGACCTTTTACCGATACGGCGGCCATATTGAATTAACTAGATTAAAGGAGCATTATGGGATGCCCAGGGGGCATGAGCACAATCCGGTATACTCACTCAGTATTTACGCGCTCTTAGGACCAATTTTTTTTTAAGTTTTCCTAGAAAAAGATTGTAATGGGAAAAAAAGATCGTTGTGCCGTGTTTGGATTTAATAATGATCGCCTTTTTCCCCGAAATAAATATATACAGTGAAGTTCTCTTTTTGCCCGAAAAGCGCGCGTGAGTACTGAGCGAGTATAATACAAACTTGGCTTAGGTGTCGGCGGGGCGGTCGACACAGACGGCGGCACAGACGACGAGCAGCAGCATTTGTTGGTTGACAAAGGACAAACGAATTCATCAGAGCAATCTTTAAGACCCGGTGGGCAAGGATCAACTTTTGAATAGCAGCTAGCCTGCTCTACAGCATTTGGCGTCTGCTCGATTTCCCAACAGTACTCTGTAAAGAAAATATTATTATTATTATTATTATTATTATCATAATTAACATACTAACTATTAAAATCTTATTTACAATTAATTCACTTAAAAAAGAAAACTATTCCGTCAAAACACTATTTACAATTCCTTTCGTTAAAAATTAGAAAAAAATTCATTTCATTTAACAAAAATTATTCAAATTAAGAACATTTCATTTCAATTCACACAATTCATTTCGATAAAAAAAGAAGAAACTTTTTTCAAGGTCAATTGCATCCTTACTTATTATTATTATTATTATCATTATCATTATCATTATTATTATTATTATTATTAGTGTCGGTGGCTAGTGGTGGATATTTAGCCACCTCCACTTCGGTGAATATTGTTATTTAGTATATACTAAAACAGCGGAAAGCGTTTTTCGGGCGCTCTGATTGGCTACTACTACTCAGTGAATATCCCGCACTATTCACTGATTCACCACCAGTTCCTCCGAGCGAGCGACGCCAAACTCGCGTAAGTTGCGAACAAAATGCCTTCCCTGTTTGCTGCCGTAATTCTACTACTTATCGAAGCAAGCTGTTCCTGAAATACATGAAGAAGGTGACGAAGTTCGGTTTGGAAGTTTTAACAGGCAAACTTTGTCTTTTTTACTTGAATTTATAGATAAAAACCGGTGAAAAAGTTTTTTGTTTACAAATGCAAATTAATCTTAAGTCTTGCGTTACTTTATTGAGTTGAATTGTTCATAAAAAAGCTTAAAACTAAATTTAATAATCTATTTTACAGAATGATTTTAAATGCAAAAACCAATTCACAACTTCTTTTGAAGAAACTTCCCCGCAAGAGCTAAACAAACGCCATCAAAAGTTTTATTTGTCGGTAAGATAAAGCGACGACCGCGGCCGTTCGGTCATCGCGCGCCTATTTTGTAATCGTTAGCAACAGTAAATGTTGGAGATTAGGAGCCCTGGCCTGAGCATGCGTGGCAGGTCTCAGGTCTCAGGTCTTCACCCCCTCCCCTCCGCTCCCCTCCCCTCCCCTCCCCGCTTTTGCACCCGCCACGCAGGGACAGAAAAGCCCTTGAGGTTGCTTCCTCACGGGCACGTTACTCCGGTGGTCCGAAACTGTTGATTTTTCAGACAGAAGTACCAGGTTTGTTAAACATTGTCATTTATTTTGGTGGTTATAGCGGAGCTCTCTCGCGCGCGAAGAGCACGGAGAAGAGCATCCAAGAAATTTTGGTTCTGAGAAAATTGTCTGCACATACGTCCACCCCACTCATGTAAGCAGGGGTGAAATTTTGCATTTCAAGCACTCGAGCGTTTCGGGGGTAAATCGGATATCCACCTGGACAAAGTGTGCTGCACGTGCAGAGTTGTTTTTTTGTTTTTTGCTAATTAGACCTACTAGTTGCATCTATTGAACTTACTTGTTGCATGGCCAACAGCCAAAAGATTAAGAAGCACGAGATATAACGGAACCATCATCTGGTCAATAAACTGAAAGAAAGCGAAGTATGCAACATTATTAAATTGTCAACGAGCAGGCGGAGCGAGGTCGCTCCGCTTGCGAAGCGGCAGCGGCATAGTGCCGCGCGAAGTATTGCTGGAGTCAGAAAAATTCTCGATCGAAAGCGATCGAGCTGTGAAAGTGTGAATAGAGAGCTTAATATTGAGGTGTTTCGGCCTTTCCCGCGAACCGCGAACGTCAAGAAGTCACGTGATCAGGTCTTTGCAAGCAGGTTTGCGGTTTGAGGTTCACGTTTGTGCGGCTAGACCACGCTTCAGCTGTGAGGGTTGATTTCCAGTGTCGCGTTATTTTTACGTGCGTACGTGCGTAAAATTTACGATCGGAAATAAAATAGAGGCAATGCATGAAAGGTCACTCGACAGCGTAAAAGTTGAACCTGGCTCAACTTCTCGTTTGAGCTCAGCAATTTTTATCTTGCCTCTATTTTATTTACGTGATTTAAATTTACGTGCCTTGATGTTTATTCATTTCATTTGCAATGTAATCCATGCTTTTGATCTTTATACACAACCGTGTGGAAGGAAGTTCGCTGAATGCGTGAATGCAGAAGGCATAAATGTAATAAACTACCTTAAATATAATAAAGTCCTAAATGTAATAACATTCTGTCCTAAATGTAATGACGTTTTGTCCTAAATGTAATAAACTCTTAAGTTGCAAATTATAGTAATTACACAAGTAAGCGCCTCCCTCAAATAAGCGCCGCATTTTGGAGAAGAAATTTAATAAGCTTCGGTACATTTCCTTATGCACTGTGTAACTTGACATTTACAATCTTTCATACTTCATTTTTGTTAAAGAAATTTACTGCGAAAACCGTGGACGAAGAAAAGAAATCTAATCAGCTAAAATATTAAGAAAAAAAGCCAGAAGTCTAAGGGCTTGTTTCAGGAAGGAGGTGGGGGACCCCAGGTAGGTGAGGTAACGCGTTTTGGTGGGTAACCCGCCTGTCCACATAATCTCTCATTTTAATTTGATCACGTTTACCACCTCCATGTAAACTGGCCCTGAAGACTACTGCACAGCTGATAACAACGTTTATAAACAACTAAAATAGTACGCGCGCACTCTGATTGACCGAGAGATGTGTTTGCATGAGAGTATGTAAACATGTGTGGAGTTAAGATGTTTTGCTCCTCGCGCTAATCACACAGGCACGAATTTTAAAATTTTTTTTGTTGAAAACTCGGCAAATTTACTTTATTTACCTATTCCCTCGTCGAATGAAACTTGGAAAATCTTTACGAACATGCTGTACCAATTTTTCTTCGCTTAAGGTGACATTTAAAGGGAGAGAAACCCTTTTTTGGAAAGCATCTTTATCGCAAAACAAGAGCTGATTACACGTACATTAAGCTTCGTGTACAAGACTTCGCGACAGGTAAGAATTTCTCTTTTAATCAGTAACCTAAAGAAAGAGTTTTTCTCGGGAAAGTTATTTTATAGAAGCAATAAAAAACTTTTTTCCTGTGTTTGCATAGCCTGATATAAACACTCGAGGGGTTCGGAGAATTCACGACTTCGTCTCGGGTTTGCATAACTGTCTCGAATTCTCCCAACCCCTGGAGTGTTTATATCAGGCTATGCAAACACAGGGAAAAAGTTTTCCAGGTCCTAAAATATTGCTTTTTTAGAAAAATACTGTTACTTTGTCGTTTACAAGCAATTTATTTGTAAACGTTAAGTTTCACAGTGCATAATTATAAGGAAAAGTACCAAATTTACGCAAATTTAGCGCCACGGCGCCTATTAACTTTTAAATCTAAAAATGCGGCGCTTATTTGAGAGCGGTGCTCAATACCATAGTAACACCGTTAAGTACCATATTTACACGAATAAGCGCCGCGGCGCTAATTAACTCCCCCACCCCCTTCAAATGCGGCGCTTATTTGAGGGCGGGACTTATTCGAGTAATTACTGTAATTGGCAACTTAAGAGTTTATCGAAGTTTATTACATTCCGGGCAAATTGTTATTACATTTATGACAAAATGTTATTACATTTAGGACTTTATTGCATTTGGAACAAAATGTATTACATTTAGGACTTGATTACATTTAGGGTCGTTTATTATATTACATTTAGGCCCTCTAGCACGTAGCTAATGCATCAATACCCTATAAACCGTGGCTTGAGTTTCTGTTTTTATATATAAGCTTGATATGAAAGGATATAAGCTAAACACTTTTTTTGTTTATTTCAAAGGTTAAATTGTATAATGGAGGCCTGAGAACTGCTCTTAATCGAAAGTGAGGTCACAAACGGTTGATAACAGCGAACAAAGCTTGACGTTAATAGATAACATTTTCACGAACGATCCACTTCGTCCCTCAATAAGCGGTCTTTTTCTCAATGACATATCTGACCATTTACCGATATTTTCACTTATTTTGTATACTAATAGTACTAGTGATAAGGGTAAATACGTATTTTTTCGTGAAAAAAATGCGCATAATCAAAGTGCATTTAAAGATGAGTTAGGTAAGATAAACTGGGCTGAAATGCCTGGTTTAAATGATCCTTCTTGGGCTTATGAACTCTTTGTTGGAAAGTATACTAAAATTTACGATAAATGTTTTCCACTCAGAAAAATGAAAGCGAAACGGTTCAATCTTCGTAGGCCTTGGTTTACTAAAGGTCTTGCTAAATCCATAAGGAAGACAAATATGTCATATCAGTCTTTCCTTAATAACCCTAACTCTTCCAATGAAAATGCATATAAGTCGTTCAGAAACAAACTTACTCATTCTCTTCGAGTTGCTAAGCGTTTATATTATGAAAAACAAATTGATTACTAAAATCAAATGTCAAGGCCACTTGGAAAGTTCTAAATGAAATCCTTAATACAAATAAAGGAAAGCGTGGTTTGCCATCGATATTTAGGGCAGATTCTCGAGAATAATTTCTTTTGCAAATATTTTACTAACATTGGCCCCAATTTGGCTAGCAAAATTCCTGTATCAGAAAAGTCGCATAATTCTTTTTTACCCCCAAAACTAGTCTATTCAATATTTCTATATGCTGTAAATGAGCAATAAATTATTGAAATATGCAGTACTTGTCGTTTAGGTACTGCAGTAGGTTATGACAACATTTCTATGAACTTAATTAAAGAATCTATTGATATAATTATTTCACCTCCTACACGCATAATTAACTTATCCATCACCTCTGGAATCGTACCAAAACAATTAAAAATTTCTCGAGTTATTCCTTTATTTAAATCTGGTGAGCAGGATATATTTACGAACTACCGACCAGTGTCTGTTTTACCAGCATTCTCTAAAATCCTAGAGAGAGTAATGTACAATCGTCTTTTGAGGTTTCTTAATAATCATAACATTCTCTCTGACAATCAGTATGGTTTTCGCAAGCATCACTCCACTGCTTATGCTCTTGCTTGTTTATATGACAAAATCTCTTCCGCTATTGAAAATAAGGAATGCACAGTTGGTATTTTTATAGACTTGTCTAAAGCCTTTGACACCTTTTGATCATAACATTTTAATTTCAAAATTAGAGCATTATGGTGTTCGTGGCACTGCACTTAGATGGTTCAAAAGCTATCTAAGCAATAGACAACAATATGTGGAATTTAATGGTATCAGTTCAGAGTCTTGCAAAATAAAATGCGGGGTACCTCAGGGCTCTATACTAGGCCCCCTGCTCTTTCTACTCTATATAAATGATCTGTGTAACGTGTCAAAGGTCGTGGACTTTATTCTTTTTGCTGATGACACAAACATATTTTTCTCCCACAAAGATTTTAACCTGCTTCCTGAAATCTTGAATTCTGAAATGCTTAAATTAACCTAATGGTGTCGAGCAAATAAACTGTCCATTAACTTTAAAAAATCAAATTTTATGGTTTTTAGACCACGCCAAAGGAGGCAATCACTTGATATATCTATTCAAATTGACAACAATGTTATTGAACGTGTGAAAGAAACAGTATTTTTAGGTGTTATCCTCGATGAGCATTTGTGTTCTTTTTAAAGAGCAGGAGATTTTAAAATTCTCGGACATTTATTTATACCAAATAGGTAAATTTAAGTATCTTTTCAAAAGAGGCTTACTTCCAAATTATTTTCGTGATATATTTACTCTTGCAAGCCAGATACATTCTTATAATACAAGAAATTCCAGCCTTTTCTATATACCTCACTGTCGAACTAATTTTCGAAAATTTTCAATTCGGTTTCAAGGTCCTACGTTTTTCAACTCGCTAAGTCGGGAAATTCAAAACGGTGAAAGTATCAGTTTGTTTGGCAAAAGACTTAAAAAATTCCTTCTTTCTTAGTTAAATTGAGTCTTTGTCGAGCTACATACCTTTTCTTTTTCTTTTTTCTCCTCTCTCTTTTTTTTTCTTTGAATCCAAATTGCGAACTTTCGTTTCAGACGAAAAAGCGACGAAATTTCGGTCCATCTATTGTTCGAACGTCCGCGAAATTTCGCAAGCAAGGTGATGAATCGAAACGAAATTTCGCGGCAAGAGACGAAATTTCGTGCCTGCAGGACGAAATTTCGCTTCGTCGACACGAAATTTCGTTTAGGCAAGGCGAAATTTCGTTTGCCGAAACGAAATCTCGTCTTTCAAAAATTCTTAGCTCACCACAGAATACACTTATACAGCTGCAATCATCACCTCATCGCTAAGCGCGATCAGTATTAACTCGTGTGATTTGTAAAAAAAAAAAATCGCTGCAATTGTTGTGGAAAGAATTTGAGACAAAATTATATTATTTAAAGTTCTGGACGTTCTGCAGTTGGCAAACGATTAGGCTTTTTATCGCGGTAGAAAGTTTTCCATTGCCACAAAAAGCGAGAAGACTCTTCCTCCGTGAAGTTACGTGAATAAAAAACACAACCAAACACTGTCCAAGGGAAGGAAAAATACGCCGCAAAAACAAATTTAAACTCACGACGGTGATTTTTGATAGAAACACTTGCACGTTTT